ACACTTGACTTTTTTTTTCGTTCCCACAACATCATCACATTTAGATGTAAATAGGCTCATTAGAGAGGCCACACTGTTAGGTTTGCCTCTTTTCCTCATTTATTCTTGTCAAAAAGGCCCACAACACAGCTTTTCCTGCAGACGGATGCTGCAAACCAAAAGGAAAAAAAAAAACCCGACTGCATCACTGTGGCTACAAATTATGATCAACATAAAGGGAATAATATTAAAAGAGAAGTGATGACAGATGTGAAAAAAGAGAAAATGTTCAGAAAAATGACTCCACTTTCACATTAATTGTTTCCTGTTTGTGTTGAGAGTTTACACTGAGCTGATCCCACCTTTATGAGTGACACAAAGCTACATTTTATCTATAATAAGATTACTGCACATATACACTGAATTTGATTTTACTTTAGGGGTTTTCAGTATCATCATTAAAAATACATTATTATAAATCATAATCATTACACTAAAACTGAATTTATTTAATTAAAACAGACATGCCACAGATATGAGATTTAGTTCAATTTTTACAATATTTCTGCCGAAAGAGAGACTTTGAATACACTAAATAATAAATGCTAAAGTTAGTTAGCAATTTCTCTTTCATCCTGATCACTGTAAGTGTGGTATACGTTCACCAAATACTGCTTTTTAAAGATTTATTAATGTTGTAAAATCAAGTCGTAAAATATATTTGGATTTTCTAACCACTGTAAGTTCACGAAACAGAAACATCTTTAGTTTTGGTGTGGATTTTAATGGTCCTACATCCTCCTCTTTCTCAGTTTCTATCTTATTCTTATTCTTCTATATTTCTCTCATTCTCTGCTTCCTGGTTTTTCCTCTTTATTTTGGATGTCTGCTATTTTTAGTTGAAAACAGGTGAACTCACCTGTCGCCATTTTACACTTTATTGGTGTTTGCACATCTGACAGGTGGATTTAACCAGTTCTTAGAATGATTGGGTTTTTTTTCAGAGACCTGAGACATTTTTGTGACTTGGCACTTTGAAAAATTTTTTTTATTGAATTCATAACTGATCATTTGAAAAG